GAGGTGGGGCGGGGTGGGGCAAGGCGGGGTGGGTCGCCGTGAGGACGCCTCAATGAGAGCGCGTAGGAGACACAGGCGCCACGCCCCACAATGCTCTGGGTGTCGAGCCCCCCTAGCCCCGGCGCGCCAGGACGACTCTCTGCGGTCAAAGGGTGCGGGCGCTGCGACCAAGCCCGTGCCCCAATAACAACAACACCTCCACCTCGCTCTGCTCACTCGAAACTGAAGACCTCTTCTCCCTCTCTTTTGTTCCAGGCGCTCGCCGCGGCCTGCCTCGGCCTGCACTACCACAGCTTCACCGACAAGCAGACGTCGTTGATGCTGGCCTCGGCCACCTTCGGCGGCTACCTCATCATCACCGCCGGCGTGTTCGCCGGCCACCTCGCCGGCACCCCCGTCAACAGGCGCATCGTGAGTATAGGGACAGATGCGGCCTCTGCTGTTTGTCCACTCACGCCCCACGCGTGGCGTGCGCCGCCCGGGCGGGCGTCCCGCGCCGAAATAGGCGTAGAGCTCATTCCCGATTCTCCGAACGCGCCCGCCCAGGTTGCTCCAGGACCTTGTCGTAAACCTCGTCCAGGACGGCCTGCTGCTTGCGCCCGGGGCACAACACACTGCTGTGCTCGGCGGCCCACGCGGCGCGTCAGTCAACCTAATTGGAGTGGCTCAGTTGCGGCCGTAAAACTACTAGTCGCTTTGTCGTAAAAAAAAAGAGAAGAAAGGAAATAAGAAGGGGGAGGGTGGGTAATTTTTTCTGCTCGGTACGGCCTGTCGACACGATGGGCCGGTGTGGAGCGCAGTGTGTGGGTGGTGGCGTGTCGCGCAACGACGCCGACCTGACGTTGTATACACTTTCTGTTCGCAGGACATCTACTTCTGCCTGCTGGGCTGCGCGCTCTTCATCGCGTCCGGCTCCCTGGCTGTGGAGTTCTTCCAGAACCTGGGCAAGAGCTCGGTCAGGGACTACGGTCTGGCCAAGGCCGCCCTCGCCATCGTCAACGGCATCATCTTCCTGGTGGACGCCGTGTTCGTGTACCGCGGGGAGTAAGGCGGACCCCAAGCTCGCCAGCAGCCCCGTTCAGTGTCGTTCTCTTTCGGCCCGGCCGATCTGATTTCACATAACAGCCACTCTCACTTTCATTCCTGTCCATCAACTGAAAACCAGTCCTCCACCAGCGAGGAAAGGCAGTGCAAACTGCAGGACCGGCTGCGTTCAACTGGGAGCACGCCCGCTTTCTCTGCGACAGCCGTCTGCAGAAACAGGAGGCAGACATACCCCATGCGTCGGGGATCCCACGAGCGGAGATACCCCCCGTGCGGCTATACCCGCTGGCTCTGATGGCTGGTTCGTGGCTCGGGGTATCGTCTGTGAGTGGTGGACCAATGAGTATTGGCTCTGGCTCCTGGGTTCAAACATTTCCTCAACGTTTTGTAATTGTACCAAAAGTGCTTCATATGTGTGATGTCAGTTTCACCTCCACAATAGTTTTTCATTGTAGACGTTCACATCAAAAGTTTGCACATACATGAAAAACATATTCTGCTATGGCATGAACTATTTTCAACGTTGTTTTAAATTTACATTATGAAATTAATCTCTGTGCTTCAATGAATTTTGCCAGCTTTTGTGATTTCTGTTTGAATTAATTTTTAAAGAGCTCTACGTCACAAAACGGTTACTTTTTAAGATTTTAGCTATAGTGAGTCTCGCACCCGGGTAAATACAAAAGATTCAATGGGCCATGATGATGTGCCTGTAAAACATTATTTATGACTTATTTTTTACTTTTTTAGCTTTACACTTTAATTTATGAACCAAAGTAAAATTTTGAAGCTGTACGTAAATGAAATGAAAAAGAATTTTTATTACTTATTTTGTTACATTATGAAATATTGTTTACCATGAAATTTTTAAGCATAACTTTGAATGATTTTTCTATTGTCTGAATATTTAACACTGTCTTTGTCTTGTAGAAATTAAAAATCAACTTTATACAATAAAGTTACTATGTACATGCTAAACTTAAAACAATTCATCGAGGAGTCTATTATTTCACCTTCCATCTCATGAAGATGGTAATTTTGCATCTGGTTGCTTTCACGAATGATGGTCTGGTACGAAGTCGGCTATACTCCACGCACTGAAGAACGTTACTACATGCAGATGTACTCCCTGCTTCACCACACCAGAGGGCGCACATATCATGCCAATGAACTAACTCGGCCATATTCCATCATCGACACATTCATATGCAATTTTTTCATGTCGTATCAGAACATTTGATATTTCACCTCTTGCATTCCCTGTGTACGTTCATAGCAAACAATAACCCATAGCTAATTGGGTGCGAATAACCAATGTAGGGCCTATTGCCCATCCCAAAACTATTACGACTGTCAGATGTTTTTGTTTGCCGTGCCGAACACAACGGACCAAAACAACAAGTGTGCAGCAGCGTGCCGGATGTCGTGTGTGGAGCTGTTGAGCTGCTGAGCGAGACTCACCGATACTTTCTGGATAATTGTTGTGCCTGGGCTTCTTGCTTCTTGTTATCCGAGGACTACCGACTTGCTCCTCCGCGCCATTCGGAGATTGCCTGCCAGGTCTGGTGAGTGAAATCAGCGAAGTCTCAAAGTCTCAAGTGTTAGTTGAGCTAGAGGTAGATTCACTGAGCCGAAATCAACATGGCGGCCAGAGTGAAGGGTAACATCAAATCAAAAGCTTCAAAGAAATTGCGTGACCCAAGATCAAAGAGACAAGTTCATTCCGATATTTCGTTTCCGCGTGAAAACCTGACTGGTTTTCCCATTCCTTTCCAAATCTCTGACGGGAAAACTTTGTGGCTCAGGGGGTGGGAGTCGCGAGAGGTGGGAGCAGCGCGAAAATAGGAATGGGGAGAGTGGAGACACGGGGCTCGGGGACCTGACTCGCGGGAGCCTGAGAGACAGGAGGTATTTGTCACTGTCTGGAAATCATTATGAAATGTCACTGGCAAACAAGCCAAGTGCGGGACGGGGCCCGGGTCGGGCACGCCAGCTCACCTATCATTTCCCACCCCTGTCGACCCCCCTGCTCCCCCCCCCCCTTACCCCACGGCGGCCCCTCTCACCGAGGGACCCCAGGAGAGAGAGAGGACGACCCGAGTTCCACTTCTGCGGAGCGTTGTCGCCCCTGGGTTATGACAACTAAAACAGAACAAAGCAAAAACAAACGTTTTGGTCCCTAATTGCGTCAACGGCCCCGCCCCCTCGGGCCGCCCCCTCGGGCCGCGCCGCACGGCACTGCTGTCGCGCTGTCGCTCGCGCCCCCCCGCCGAGCACAGCCGCTACACTGTCCGTGACAAGGAGCCGCGGGAAACGTTTGAAATGAAATCGATTTCATGTGCTCTCGTATTGCTGTCAGGTGGGTGGGAGCGCGGCGCTCTCGATATGCAACTCTCGGAGGTAATGGCAATTTTCGAATCGAATGAGGTAAAGTGACGACCATATCATGATAGCGCACTGGTGGTGGTGGTGGGAGGGGGGGGGGGTGACCCCTCCTTTTCTCAGCCCGCTCGTTCCGCGGGCACCGCGGCGGGGGTCGGGTCGGTATTCAGTGGGAGGAGTTTCACTTGATGAGCAGCGAATTTCTTTCTCTCCCCCCCCCCCTTTCCAGTCGTCCACTGTTTGCTCTTCCCAGCTCCGCCCCCCTCCTGCCCCGCGGTCAAGATCTTCATCACGAGTTGACAAATGCGCGACATGAACGCGGAGTAATGACCCAGGGCTGCCGTGGGGGGCGTGGCGTGGCGGGGCGTGGCGGGGCGTGGTGGAGCCCTCCTCAGGGCGTCGGCCGCAGCAATTAATATGGCACCTCCCTGATAGCGCCCCGCCCCGCCACGCCGCTCCAGAGACCGCGAATCATTTAGACCGCCCCGCGCTGCCACCTCGGGGGCGTAACCCCGGAAATAATAAGAGCGGTAATGATGATGTATTCTCGCCATTTCCCACGCCACTCTAAAATGTGGCTATGAAAAAAAAAGTATAAAAGCAAGAACTAGGCTATGCCCGTAAAGCTGGCGTGCAATTTTTTTTTTTTAATTTTTCTTTTCACCGATTGCGGTATCCTTCCTTATGGACTGGCGTTTCTTTATTTGAGGTTTATAGTGAAATTTTCGGGTTGGGCTCGAAGAAGTTAATCGAGAGAGTTCCGCTTCAATTAGAGCATGGTCGATGGCCGAGACGCCCGGGCGGGCCGCCTGCCGCTGACCGGAAGTGGGCAGGGCGACCACCGACGCGCCGTTTCCTGTGGTCGGCACTCCCGCTGCGACCGCCGAGTGGTGTGCGGGCGAGGCGCGGCTCCCATTGGCCGGGTGGCCCGGTGACAAAAATGGGAGGCAGAGAAAGAGAGAGGGAAGAGAGAGAGGGGGGG